GGACATAGGATTTGCTGAGGCTATTCCTTGTCCGATTGGGTCATATCCAGAATATACTCTGGCTTCAATACGTTGTCTCTGTACGCATGTTAAATTTTCTCCTAAAGATCGGGTCATTACTATCTCCATTTGCTTCTGATTATTTACTTCCGGTAGTTTCTGTTTGCTTCTTGCGACTTCTATTGGTTTCAGTGGCTTGACGTTAAAGGTTCTTTCCAGTGCCTTTGGTTTCACGGACCAGTATGCATGGTCAGCTTGTAGAAAGTCTGTAAATAATAATTTGAGATAACCCTAGAGTTTAATTTATTTTCCCCATTTCTGTGAATGCTTGCAAATGAAGTGTCCACTCCAAAATGCGGTTTTACATGTATTACAATGAACAAAATAATATGTAAAAATAATTTAATAGCTTTGTGATTTCTAAAATTTTACGAAGCTAATATTTTTTTTTTTCTATTTTGGCAATTTAATTAATTTCCAAAAGGATTATATAGGCATCGTCATCTTCTGGTATCTTGCACAAACACTTAAATTTTTTTGTGAGTTAACTACATGTAATTAACGCAATTTTGGGAAAATTATTTTAGGAACGTATATTATCTCTCCTTAAGTTGCAAGTTTTATCGAGGTCGTTGTGTGTTTCTACTCACTTGCCAAACACAATTTTAATTAAGAAATTGTGGTCATCAGAATAAAAAAAAATACGTTTAGTTTCAAGATCGTTTCAGATAAAAGTTTTCCCATTCGAATAAAACATTGTAAAACATTTGCTACAATTAAAAAAGCAAGGTGACAATATCTAAAAAAATATCACACAATGTACTTTTAACTAGTTTAAAATTTGTATAGTGGACCAATTATGAAATATTGTAATCTCATTTCAAAAGTGTTTTTTTTTAAAGTTTATTAGTATAAATGACCCTGGAAACGTCGTTAATAGGACCACCCCGATGCGTTAAACAGTTAGACACTCCTTTATGACCTTAAACTTTCTAATCAGACGTATACGATATTAACAGCTAATTCACTTTGAATGAACATCTGTTATAAACGAAATGCATAAATACCTTACCATTATCTCAGTTTTCACAGTGTTTATAGTTCTTGTCAAATATTTTGCCCCTTTTCACACTAACTCTTGAGAGCGTTATGTTGCCATTTCTTTTTCCATATCCAAAAAAAAAAACCTCGAGTCGGTAAAACATTCCCTCTTGTTATTGTGTGTTATAAAGAATAAATCCTCTTAACACTGCAATCTCGCCCCTTTTTAAGGACAGATGATAAAAACAAACTTTTGTGAAAAATACTTGGGTCATGTTTAATAAATAAATAATTTGAATAACTTTCACCGCGTAGTTTTTAATTTTGTATTCAAATTTGCACAAAAATGGAATTTAAAATGAAAACTTATTGTATAGATTAATAAGGATGGTTTTAGAAGGGTACACTTTTGAACATCACAGAAGGTTTACAATATCTTTATATTCTAGGATTTTTTTTATATTTATTTATTTCACATATGCATGTACAATAAAGTGCAACGACAAATCAGCAATTATTTTATATATACAGTGCAAAAAAGCAAAAATCTTAGGATTGCTGATTGAAAGGAAAGAAAGGAAAAGAAAGAGAGAGTGAGGAAAGAAACTGCTAATTAACAAATTGGGGGAAAAAAACCTAGTCTGTTTAAACATTTATTTGATCTGAGACACAGCTGTTGATTCTAAAATCGAGCAAAATTGTCAGAGCCTTCTCATTATAAAAAGCCAAATTTCCCATTCTTTATGAAAATCTTCCAGTTTACAGTTTTTGGTAGCTATATACTTCAAAGTTGAAAGATGAGTTTTGATATCTATAAGTAGTCCATGAATTGATAATTTTTCATTAAGACACCGCTTTTTGTATATGTAGGATTTGAGAATTAGAAATATCTGGTACAAATTCCTACAGCTTGAATTAAGATCTAATCCCAAAATAAAAGAACAAGGATACCTTGGAATAGCAATATCCCTTGTCTGACAAAATTCAAAAAATAAATTGATGAGATCTTGAACACAGGGACATTCCCACAGTGTATGGTAAATTGTTTCTTCAGCTGAATTACAGAAATTACACATTTTACTATCTTTTATCCCAACTTTAAACAAAAATACATTAGTAGTTAAGATATGATGGTTAATTCTATATTGTAACCATTGTAGTTTTGTACTTTTAGTACTGATAAAAGGTAACTGAAAGATTGCTTTCCATTGCAACTTAGATAAAGTGAAATATCTTCCCCATTTTGATTTGTAAAAAGATGTGACATTTTCTTCTGTATTTAGTGTATCATACATAGTTTTAGTACCATTTTTGGATGAACAAAATGATCTTATATTAAATGGTATAATTGGTCATGGGTTATTTTTTTCTTTAACAATATCCTCATTTTTTAGACTGTTTGAAACAGAGTTTTGTATACCATAATATGTAAGAAAATTAGTTTTAATGTTGAACTTTTACTGGAGATCTCGTAAACTCAAAAATGTCCCATTCTCATCAAGCAAATCGTTGATATATATAATATTCTTATTATACCATTCAGTATAGAAAATGGGCTTTTTTCCAATTTTAATTTTATTATTCAACCAAATTGGTTGAGTTACAAATTCTTGCCATGTTTTTAACTTCGTTTTATCTTGAATATCTCGAAAAGCAATAAATGTATCTTTCCAAAAAGAGTTTCTTAAATGGTGTAATATATCATTGATATAATCTGATCCAGTTTTGAACATTTTGTCAATGTTTACAGTTTCATTTAATAAATTTTTCCATTTTGAATTTTGACTGTTCAGTAATCTTTTAATCCATGATGATTTCAGACCTTTTATATAGTTATTAATTTCAATCATTTTCAGGCTTCCATTTGGATAGTCTTGAGTGATTTGTTTTCTTTTAATTTTATCCACCTTAGATTTCCACAGGAAATTAAACAAAATATTGTTCAAATCTTTTACAAATTTGCTTGATGGCGTTGGTAGAGAGATAAAAAGATGGTTCATTTGTGAGATAAGTAGAGATTTTATCAGGGTAACCCTGCCAATAGGAGTGGTATGCCTTTTGTTCCACTGATTAATAATACGTTTGATTTTTACCAGCTTTTTGTCATAATTAAGTTTAGGAATATTAGTCAGGACAACATCAAAATAAATGCCTAAAATTTTAAAGCTGGTTGTCCAATGAAAATTCATTTCATTACATAATTTTTCATTTGTGTATTTTTTGCTACCTATCCAAACTAATTGTGTTTTTGATAGATTGATTTTTATCCCAGAGAGTGCATTAAAATGATTCAATTCCTCAATAGTGGCTCTCAGGGATTTTTCAGACCCATCTTGTATTACTGCAGTATCATCAGCATACTGAGACATTAAATATTCTATTTCATTTATTTTGATACCTTTTATATTTTTGTTATTTTTTATTTTGAGAGCAAGAAACTCTGCACATAATAAAACAAATACAGAGAGATTGGATCACCTTGGCAACAGCCTTGGCTAGGTTTAAAAAAGTCTGAAAGGTATCCTGCTTGTGTAACAGATGATTCTATATTTCTTTGAAAAGTAGATATCCAGGAATGAATAGATGGACCAAAATTTAAAAAATCTAGCCATTTATGTATGAATTTCCGAGACACTGTGTCAAATGCTTTCTCAAAATCAATCAACAATAAAACACCTGGGATGCCATGTTCCTCTGTGTATTGCATTAAATCATATATTAATCTTGTGTTTTCACCAATATATCTACCCGGTATAAAGCCTGTTTGATCAGAACTAATTATTGTATCGAGAACAGTTTTTATTCTTTGAGCAATACACCCAGAACGTATTTTATAAGCTACATTTAAAAGTGTTATTGGTCTCCAATTTTTCAAGAAAAATTTACTTTTACCCTCCTTTGGAATACAGGTGATAATACCCTGTTTCTGTGTTACCGAAAATTGACCACTGCTGTATCCAAAATTTAAGGACCTAACCATAAAATGTCCAATTTTGTTCCAAAAAACTTTATAAAATTCTGTAGTAAAGCCATCGCTGCCGGGGCTTTTATTATTTGACATATTCCTTAGAACAGGTGTTGCTTCGGTGTACGAGCTTTTCCTTTCTAATGAGCCTCTTTGAATATCATTCAACTTTTTTATGTCTGTGTCTGATAAAATTTGATTTAAATCATAGTCTCTGCTTTCATCATTTGCCATATAAAGATTCTTATAGAAACTTTCTATTTCTTTTAAAATTTCATTTTGATCTGTTATTTCTTCCAGAGTTTCTTCATCTTTAATTAATTTAGGAATTATTTTATTTGTATAATGTCTGTTTTCTAAATTCAAAAAGTAGTTTGTAGGTTTCTCTCCTTCATCTGTCCATTTAGCTCTTGATCTCACTATGTTTCCCATTAATCTATGATTTCGTATATTCTCCAATTCTTTCTTTTTATCATTGATCAAGGTAATGTTTTGCTCATAGTTTTCTTCTAATTTATCAATATCAGCTATAATTTCTTTTTCTTTTTCATTATTCCTTCTTTTAATAAAACTAGATTAAGATATTGTTTTCCCTCTTATTTCCATCAGAAGAGTTTCAAGGAAAAGTTGATCATTAAATGTAAATTGTATTTCAGCATTAGACAATATATATTCTTTACTGTACACAGGTAAAGCATAATTTTCTTTTATCTGCATTATAGTATTGTTAATGGTTTTAATATATTCAAAGTCATGCAACAATGAGTTAATAAACTTCCATAATCCTTTTTCATGGGTAAAATTACTCAGTTTTAGATTGAGGTATACAGCGGAATGATCAGACTTGTAGCTTGATAAAATGTCAGTCTCTTTTATCATATTTAACAATGAGTTTGATATCAGAAAAAAATCTAACCTTGCTTGTTTAAATGGATGAGTGTCATGAGTTCTTTTTGGATTTTGTAGAGTTGAAAAGGAAAAACAATATCAATCAGAAACAACAAATAAGTTCATTAACAGAAATAAAAAAAAAATTATATTCAATTACTCTCACTCACGCTCACATACCAGCTCACACACCGGAAATGAAAATAAATATGAACAGTTAACTCAGCTTAAACCACTTCTGATACTTTACATAATAATAAAGTTGAATATTACATGCTACAATGCTGAGTCAATAATTATCAGATTCTAAATCAAACAGGTAAAATTCACCAACTTAATTCAGTCTTTTCAATTAATATTTCGAAAAAGCTCAATTAACTTCAAATAACAATAATATCTTTTAAAATGTAAACGAGTTCTGTTATTTACTACTGAAAGTTACTCAAAGTTCTGGTTCACAAATCAGGTCAGCGACACGTGTCCTAGAAAATGCACCACGGCGCTCTTGCCATACAGGTAACGTCAACGTCACACCAAGTTCCGTGGTCCACAAAATAGTAGTTCCTAACTCGCAGAGCCCCGGGTCTTAGCCTCCCGCTCCGGTTATCCTACCACGCCCTTAACGGTGTTGACCTTGGATAAGACGCACGTGGCCCTCCATGCATAAACGTCAATAAGCCTCAGACCTCGTCAAACGACCCTCAGTAGGCCCATACATCAAAACCTCGTCTCTAAGCCCCTTACGCACTGAAAGTAATTTTTATTTACAAAAAGCTAACCTAAGATACAACTGACACCGGAAATTTATACCAGAAAACAAACTATATACATTACTCGAACACTCTTACTGGCTAGAACTGCACAAACACGCTGCAATAATCCTCCTGGCAAGTTATATGGCTACCCGTTAACATTCGGTGCTATATCTCACCAAAATATTCGCCACTTGTATAATCATGCAGGGGAAACAGCAAACGTGGCACACCTCCGGCTGGTCACGCTACCGGACACAAAACTGGATCTGACCATCCCGACAAAACCGGTCCCTTTATATACTCGTGGCAAAACAGACTCAAATGTATGGAACCCCCTTCGAACAAAATTAAAATTATATATACAACAAAAAATCAACTTCTGCACATACGCCCCCATTTATTTGCCAATATTTATAAATATTGCAAAATAAATCTAGAATAAGTTGACGTATCGGCTAACCAGCCCTTGAAAGAAAGTCAGCTAATTTGTTATCCCTGCCTGGAATATGCCTCACTGTGTACTTGTACTCTTGTAAAACCAAGCTCCAACGAAGTAGTCTAGGATTTTGGGACTTCATCGTCTTAAGCCACTGCAACGCTCTGTGATCCGATTCTATAATGAAATGCTTACCATACAAATAGTTTCGCAGACGCTGCACCGCCCATACAATCGCATAGCATTCTTTTTCCACAACGGCGAAATGCTGCTCCCTGGGAAGTAGTTTTTTACTGAGGTAAACGATCGGATGGTACTCTGTATCCTTCTCCTGCAATAAGACCGCCCCCAGTCCCCTGTCGCTTGCATCGGTTTGTAAAACAAACACTAATGTAAAGTCTGGATTCCAGAGTACAGGTGCACTTACCAATTTCTCCTTCAGATTCCTAAATGCCTCATCATGTTCCTCTGTCCATATGATTGTGTTTGGCTGTGTTTTTCTAGTAAGATCAGAGAGTGAAGCAGACAAGGAAGAAAAATTGGGAATAAACTTCCTATAAAAGTTCATAGCACCTAAGAATGACCTCACATCTTTCTTTTTTGTTGGAACAGGAATATCTAAGATTGCCTGTACTTTGTCTGAAGTTGGCCTTACCTGACCATTTCCGACCTTGTGTCCAAGAAATTCCATTTCTCTACACCCAAACTCACACTTCTTCGGATTAGCTGTTAATCCTGCGTCCTGAATAGCTTTTAACACTAATCTGATGTGTTCAAGGTGACTAGACCAGTCCTTACTGAAGATAATAATATCGTCAATAAAGGAATCTGAATACTCCTGATGACCTGCTAGTATTTGTCTAACCAACCTGTTAAAAGTGGCTGCCGAATTCATCATTCCAAACGGCATCACAGTGAACTGATAATGACCGAATGGAGTGATGAATGCATTTTTCTTTGGCGTCATCTTCTAGAGTAATCTGCCAATAGCCCTTAGTCAAATCTATCTTGCTAAGATACTTAGCCTCACCTAGTCGATCAATGATATCCTCAATTTGAGCATTAGGTTCTGGATCGAACACAGTTACCTGGTTTAACCTCCGATAGTCTACACAAAACCTGATACTCTTGTCCTTCTTCGGTATGATAACGACAGGTGATGCATAAGGACTAACTGACTGTTCTACAATACCTGCTTCTATCATTGCAGACAGTTCTTTCTTCACCTCATCTCTCAACATATGTGGAATCTGATATGGCTTTTGACACACAGGAACATCACTAGTAGTTACCACCTTATGTTTCAGTAAGCTAGTTCTACCTGGTACATTTGTCAACACACTACTAAACTTTTCTAAACAACTCTGTAATTCACCTGTTTGTTCCTTTGATAGCGTCTGTGCTATCTTCACATCCTTCACCGTATCCCTAACATCCATCAAAGGATTGCCTATCCACTCATCTTCATCTGACATGTCGACCGAACATACTGCTGTTGCTACTACCTGGTCAGCATCTCTGTCTATCCATCTCTTTAACATATTGACATGATAGACCTTTGTGACCCCATTATTGTACTTTACCCTATAATCTACGGGACTTACCTTTTCCGTAATAGTAACTGGTCCCTTCCACTGAGCCAATAACTTTCTAGTACTTGTGGGTAACAATACCAGTACCTTTTCTCCCACCTCAAAAGACCTATGCCTCGCTTTCCGATCATAGTACCTTTTCTGTTCCTGCTTACTACCTACCTCATTCTCCAACACAATATCTGCCATTTTTGCCAACTTTTCTCTGCTTTCTATAATAAAGCTGAGTACTGATGGTTGTAATTGATTATCTTCATCACCTTCCTCCTCAATGCTTTCTCTAAGAATGGTCAAAGGACCTCTTACAAACCTTCCATACATCAGCTCGAAAGGAGAGAATCCCGTGGACTCCTGTGGAACTTCTCTATATGCAAATAATAAATATGGCAACAACTTGTCCCACTTACCTGGCTCGTCTTGTGCGTATATTTGAAGCATTCTCTTAAGTGTGCCGTTGAATCTTTCCACCAGCCCGTTTGCCTGTGGGTGGTAAGGTGTTGTGTTCAACTTACGAATGCTTAACAAGCGACATAACTCTGTCATAAGAGAGGACATAAAGTTTGTACCTTGATCTGATAGTATCTCCTTTGGGACCCCAACTCTCGAAAACACCTCCACTAACGCCTCAGCTACCACCTCTGCCTCTTGACTTCTAAGTGGTATCGCCTCGGGATACCTTGTTGCGTAATCGCACAGAACTAGAATGTACTGATTACCTCTCTTTGTTCTGGGTAATGGGCCCACCATATCAATAGCTACCCTCTGAAACGGCGTCTCGATTGGCGGCACCTGAACTAAGGGAACTTTACTTACTCTCGTTTTGGAGGTTCCCTTCTGGCACTTGGGACATGACTTACAGTACCTTTTTGTGTCCTCAAAAATACCTTGCCAAAAAAAAATTCGTCAGAATTCTTTCTCTTGTCTTCTTGATACCAAGATGTCCCGCTAGTGGAATGTCGTGCCCCATCGATAGTATTTGCCCTCTAAATTTTGCTGGTACTACTAACTGTTTAAGTAGACTGTCTTTATCCGTTTTGAAAACCCTGTATAACAAACCTTTCTCCTTTGTTATGTAGCTCTCTCCATCGTCTGTACACTTCTTATCTATACTCTTTCTTAACCTTTCAAGACTCGGATCTTTACCTTTCTCTTGTATCCACTCTTCCTTCGAATCCATGACATTCACATCAGAACCAAGCTCCAGCTTCTCTTCTACCTGACTATGTTCTTTTTGTTTTGCTGCAGATCTTGTTTCTACTGCTTGACAAGACTCATCTAGTGACTCTCTCACCTTACTTTGTTTCTGCTCTGGAATATCAACTCTGGTATAATTACCTACTATTAAATCAGCAAAAGGAGAGTTAAGCACCAATGCCACTACTTTACCTTTCACATACTGTGTGTCCACGTGTATCCAGACCTCTGGACACCGCTGAGAACTACCATTAGCAAGAGTAACTTCACTCATTGCCCCTGTCATATCATCCGATGTAACCAGTTTTTCTGAAACTAGTATAGATGTACACCCTGTATCTCTAAGTACTGAAGCACTCTTACCGTTCACAAACCCCTCCTCTAATTTCAGACCTCTGTCTCTGTTATCTGGGATAACTTCCATCTTATCTTTAACTGAAACAGGAAGTTCTACAGAAACACCATCCTTACTCTTAGTAGGGGAGTGAATTAACCCTGCTTTCTCTTTACCACCGCTTGCTTGAATCGTACCTTGTTTATCTCCAGCTGGTTTCCAACCAACTGCACCCTTGATACCTGGCTTGCGTAAAGGACAACTACTCATGAAATGACCCACTCTGTTACAGAGAAAACATTTCTTCTCGAATTTGTTCTGTTGGCTTACCAACGGACTTGTGTTGCCCTTAGCCCCAGTAATCTTACCTTTCATATCCTTGGTATACCCAACGGCTTTGTTCGTCACCATCGACCCTTGATGTGCATTTTGATATGCTTCAGCCAAATCTACCATTTCACCTACCGTCTTAGGTTGTCTCTCCTTCAACCAAATTTGTAAATCCCTAGAGGAACTGTTAATGAGCTGCTCTCTCATAATAACATCGACTAGAACATTGTACCTCTGATTCACCTTTTCCATTTGACACCAGTGATCAAAATGATTCACTGCACGACTATGAAACTCTCTAAAAGTTTCAGTGGGATATTGTCTACACCCTCTGAATTTGTCTTTGTAAGTACTGGCTGTAAGGTTATACCTCTTAAGAATTGCTTGCTTAATAACTTCATAGTCGCTAGCTTCCCCATCACCTAACCGTGCGTACGTATCTAAAGCCTTACCTGTAAGCTGGGGTACTAAACGCAAGGCCCACTCTGATTTGTCCCACTTGTGAAGTATAGCTAACCGCTCAAAAGACCTCAAGAACACATCTATATCTTCCCCTTCAACATACTTAGGAAGTGTAAACTTTACCTCATGTTTTGTTTCTTTAGCTCCTGCATCTGGCCATGGACCATGTGGCTTCTCCTGCAAGGCCTGTTGCTGTAAATCTAGTTCTCTCATTCTTACCTCTAATTTTCTTTGCTCTAAGTCTTTCTCATGAAGGAACTTCTTTTCCTCTAACTCTTTTTCATGGAGTAATTTCTTTTCTTCCAAGTCCCTCTCGTAAAGAAGTCTCTTTTCCTCCGCATCCTTCTCTAGCTGTAGCCTCTGAATCTCGATCTCCTCCTTTTCCTTCTCTCGTCTGGCCATACGCTCCTCTCTCTCCACTGCGCTAGCATGTCTCCACATCTCCAGACAAACCGTTAAATCCTCACCCTTACCAATGGCCTCCTGCACCCAACTAGGTAACGACATCGTGAACTTCAACCAACTACCACAACTCAACAACAAAACCAGCCAACGAGTACTCTTTCAGTTTAACTATTATCTGCAAATAACTTTTCTTTAAAAAATTACTCTATTTCATTGAACTTTTTCAAAAATGACTTAAATGTTAATTCTAATAGATATTTTCCCTCTCAACAAACTCCTACAAAATCCCACCGCTGCCACCATATGTCATGAGTTCTTTTTGGATTTTGTAGAGTTGAGAAGGAAAAACAATATCAATCAGGAACAACAAATAAGTTTATTAACACAAATAAAAAAAAATCAAATTATATTCAATTACTGTCACTCATGCTCACATACCAGCTCACACACCGGAAATGAAAATAGATATAAACAGTTAACTCAGCTTAAACCACTTCTGATACTTTACATAATAATAAAGTTGAATATTACATGCTACAATGCTGAGTCAATAATTATCAGATTATAAATCAAACAGGTAAAATTCACCAACTTAATTCAGTCTTTTCAATTAATATTTCGAAAAAGCTCAATTAACTTCAAATATAAATATCTTTTCAGCTGTAAACGTGTTCTGTTATTTACTACTGAAAGTTACTCAAAGTTCTGGTTCACAAATCGGGTCAGCGACACGTGTCCTAGAAAATGCACCACGGCGCTCTTGCCATACAGGTAACGTCAACGTCACACCAAGTTCCGTGGTCCACAAAATAGAAGTTCCTAACTCGCAGAGCCCTGGGTCTTAGCCTCCCGCTCCGGTTATCCTACCACGCCCTTAACAGTGTCGACCTTGGATAAGACGCACGTGGCCCTCCATACATAAACTCGTCAATAAGCCTCACACCTCGTCAACCGACCCTCAGTACGCCCATAGATCAATAACCTCGTCTCCAAGCCCCTTACGCACTGAAAGTAATTTATATTTACAAAAACCTAACCTAAAATACAACTGAAACCGGAAATTTATAACAGCAAACAAACTATATACATTACTCGAACACTCTTACCGGCTAGAACTGCACAAACACGCTGCAATAATCCTCCTGGCAGGTTATATGGCTACCCGTTCACATTCGGTGCTATATCTCACCAAAAATATTCGCCACTTGTATAATCATGCCGGGGAAACTGCAAACGTGGCACAGAACCCCATTCGAACAAAATTAGAATAATATATACAACAAAAAATCAACTTCTTCACAATGAGGCTTGCGCCAAGTATATCTTTGTTTTTCAGGGTAATTTCTCTGAATATATCTGACAACTTTTGGCCAGAAATAACTTCTAATAGCCTTTCTCTTGCTTTCGGATTATTAGTATGAAGATAATTATGATAGTCCTTATCTGGGTTAATAACTAAAGTAAAGTCCCCTACTAGAATAACATGATCATTGTTCATATTATCTATTGATTCTGAAACCATATTATAAAACCCAGGATCATCGTCATTTTGACAATAAATGGCAATAAGACTTGTACGTACATCCCCAAGGCTAATATCAAGTGCTAAAAAATTACCTGAGTTATCTTTCACATTGTTGTGAACTTTATATTCAAAATTACTATTTAAAAAAATTGCTATACCTCTGGACTGAGACGAGATGGAATTAAAATATACATCATATCCCCATTCATTTCTTATAT